AAGGTCATCACAATGACTGATCCCGTATTGAAAGAGTTAATAAATGCAAAAAAAAGAATTGATAAACTCAACGGACATCTGATAAGAAATTTAAAAAATGAGTAAACAAAAACTATGATAAACAAAACTGATTTCTGGTAAAAAGAGTATAAAACAAAGAACTATAGACAGTTTTGATAAACAAATTTGAAATCCTGTAAGGAGTTTCCAAAAAGAACTAAAAAGAGCTTTGAAAAAACTATTGAGCTGGTAAAGATTTTAAAAACAATTTCAAATAACTTTCATAAACAAAACTCATATCTTGTAAGTAGTTTACAAAAGATTATTTACACAGAATTGATGTTGGGTAAAAAGTTAAAATTTAAAAGGAACTTTATATATAATTGTTATTTGGTAAACATAAAAAAAGCTTTGATTCATAGAACTGATAAGCTTAATAAAAAGAGTTTTGATACACAGAAATGATGTATAGTACACAGTATAAAAAATGAACTAGCTTCAATAAACAGAACATGTCTGATAAGAAATTTAAAAAGTGCATTCATATTTGATACACAGAATTGATGTCTGCTTAAAAGATTACTAAGTATGAATGATTTTAACAGTGACACAGTAAGTTCAGCACATTCAGTGCTGTAAAGTTTTAAATTATACTGAATGCCTGGTGGCTAATTTAAGGTCTCTACACCATTACAGATGTACAAAAACTGGGGAAAATAAAACATTCATGACATTATGGACAGGAGGTCATTCAGTCCTTATAGGCTGCCCTTCCTTAGAAAAAGTATAAATGTAAATCCACTGTTTATTTTTCCGGAAATCATCTACACATATTCCACTCTTGAACTTTTACAAGATAGTGGCTTTCATTAATGCTGACAACTGATTCAATAAGTTAATCACCTGTTTAGAAAAATAAAATTGCTTTAAGTGGAGCATAGCTGGTCTTTTGCAAATATTAAAACAGTATCCTTTCATCCTTTATCGGAATATAGCATTTAGAAATCAGTCCTTTATCTTATTGATTCCCTGGATAATCATGCATACTTCAATAACTTGTCCTTATTCTCTCAAGAGAAAAGTTATGAAATATTAATCTATACTAGGAATCATCCTCATAGCCCTCATATGAACTCTTTCTAGTAAATCAATATATTTTCTTAAATAAGGAGACCACAACTGATTCCATAAGTCAATTACCCTATTAGAAAAATAAAATTATCTTAATTGGAGCAGAGCTGGTCTTTTCCAAATATTTACCTGTGTCCTCTCATCCAAAAAGCCTAACTTGTAATTTGTACAGAGAGATAATTATCTCTTTTGACTTGAAATCAATGTCTACAAATACACCATAAACTTCTATTAGTTTTACTATTAGCTATAGAGCACTGCTTCATTAGCTTGAGTGACTTATCCACCACTATGCAAAGATCCTTTTCTTCAGACATGCTACTGAGTGGTTTCCATCTATACTAAGTGTGTAATCCAAATTATGATAACCCCAATGCATTACTTTGCAATTCCTATAATTAAAGGTCATTTACTAAATATCTGTACAATTTTCCAAATCATTTTACAATACCTCAAGATCCTCATTACAACTAGAAATACCTAAGTATTTAACGTTATAAGCAAATATTAGTAATTCCATTAATTATATCCCTATTAATAACATTTATGTTAATAAAAAAAATGCAAAGGCCAAAACAATGAACCCCCCTGAGATACCCACTAGTAACAAGGGTCCAGTTTACTAGATTCCATTAATAGCAACTCTTTGCCTCCTGTTATTCAACTACCCCATATTCCAATTAATTAGTTTTCCTAACCCCAATGCCAGGTGTTTCAACTTAACTGACAGCAAAATGCTTTGAACAATGCTAAAAATAATGAAACAATTATTTCTATTAGCATTAAAATGATTAAGTAAACTTAATCTTTAAATGTTATCACAAAAATAGTCTTTTTCTAGAATGATCAAGTACTATAAGAGTTAATTATAACTTTCTGTACGAGAGCAATATAACATTTTTTTAAGCACTAGAGATTCAAACTCAGTTACTGTCTAACCTCTGGGAAAGCAGAATCACATTTTCTTAACCTGAAGGAGATCAAGTGTCACTTATTATATAGACTCTAGGCAAGTAATATTGTATTCTCTAAACACAAGGAATATACAATATTTGTTACTGTATAGTTTTGGGCAATTAATATAATGCCTTCTAAATACTAAGTTGATCCAATGTCAATTACAGCCTAACCTATTGGCAAACAAAATCACATTTTCTGAACAAATATACAATTAAGTTACTGTTTAACCTCTGGGCAAGCACCATCAACTTTCCTCTCGTTTGAAAACCATTATTAGTAGATCTCCATAGTGTTCAGGAAGTGGGATGTTGTTTGCATATGGAAAGTCACAGTGTACTGTTACATTACCTGATCTCACAATAGAATAAGATTTTTTGTGTGTGATAACATTTAAAAATTAAATATATCTGATGTTAGTAGAAAGAAACATATTCCACTGTTTGTAGTTGTATGCTATAATTTTTTTGACTGCTTAAACATTCTTTCATCAATTAGATTGAAACACATTGGAATTGGGGAAAGATTAGTTAATTGGACTGTTGGGTAGTTAAATATCCTTAATGTTTAGAAAATATTGCTTGAGATTGGATTTTAGTGCTTACCCAAAACTCAAGTACTTTTGAATAGTTAACTACTCTTCTTCCTGAAGAAGAATAGTAAACTAATCGAAATTGCTCAAGTTTTGGGTCTTGTTTAAAAACCATTACAACTTTTGTATATGACCCTGTGTACTAACTTCTTAATCAGAATTGAAATCCACCAATTGTTACTGTCTAATCTCTAGGTTATATCTAACTTCATAAAATTAGTAAATGACATAGACTGAAAGACTGTATCTGTGCCTCTACCTTTAAGTTTTAACAGGTTTATGAAGACATCATATGATATGGGTTTTACACTAATAGTATGAAATATTTCACTCTATTTCACTGTACTTACTCTCAAATATACTAAATTTCTGTGAAAATACCCTACATTTATGAAGTCAGTTGGTTCTGATGTCTTAAGCTCCAACTTGTTAAAGTGTGCAAAGCAATGACATTCTTAAGCAAGGCATGGCTGGTGTTGAGTAATAATATTAAGTTAACAACTGCATCTTTGAAAATAGCATAGTTTATTAATTAATAATATCACTGGCACCATACGTAATGGAAAGTGGGAAGAATTAGCACTGGTAATAATGGCAGTGGCACTGATTACAACTTGCAAGTTACAGTGACATTAATATATAGTACTAGGCATTAATAATAATCTAATGTACAATATTAAAATTATTATATTTATAACAAATAAAGCAAGAATGCAAAATATTATTAATAAGTTAATTACATAAACACATGAACATACAGAAGTGGGGTGGAAAGAAGTGCCATTTTCACTTTTAGTGCAACATATTTCTCACTTTGCATTAGTAATATTAGTTTTATTATTACCACAGCGATTTTTTCTGGATTCGGCATAACCTACTTACGTAAGAAGTGGAATTGGAGTCCATACAATACAGAAAGGATAACGACTTTTTTTATGATCTATAATATCCACAGAATCAGGAGAATAAAGACTGGTTTTAGTTGTGTGTGCTTGACAATCTGGAGAGCTCATTATTCCAACTAATCTCATTCCAACCATAATAAGTTTACAACAACTTAATAAGTTTCGGTTCCAGCTACCCCTTAGGCCTAGCACATAGTAAATTCGTATCCATTGAGTCTGAGAACTGAAAACCAAGCTGTCTAAACTCTCGACTCCTACTGTTTATAAAGTAATAATAATAATAATAGACAAAAGCATATACATTATTAACATACTGGAATAAAAAAATACACAATTAAATGATATAAAATACCAACATAAAAATAAAAAGCGTTAAAAATAAGAACATCGAAAAAATATATCAATATTATATTTATGCATGTAAAATGTTTTTAACTTGCTTTTATTAATATACAAATTATTAACATTTTTCATTTAGTTTGCTTCTATGCAGTTTTAGTACAATACATGGTAGAGTAAACCGTTGAAATTGTTTTACTTTAATTAACATTGTGTCATTGTTTCTCTAGCAGATAGTATTTACTTTGCCTGCAAGATGTTGCTGCAGCTTGTGTAGAAATGGGCTTTGACAGCAATGTCCTTCGCTGGCTGAGTGGACGATATCTAGAGGTTTGCAACCTTTGTCTGTTGCAAGAGAACAACCAATCACGTGATAACACATATAATTTCTGAGTAAAACCGAGGTTACCTGTTTAGCATAGGCGTCGGTTTCAGTCAGAATAGATCTACATCTAGTCTTACTTGGTTCAAGACGTGAATGGATTAATTCAAAGACATCTTAATAATTACAGGTAATAAATGTTATTTGACCCACTGATCTATTAAGAAAGCAAATGTCAACTGTCCACACAAGTGCTCACATTGTGTTTTGTTTCACTTTGCATTATAAATAAAGATTGTGTTTCGTCTGACATCAAGTGTTCAATCTGATCACTTCTTAGTTAAAAACTCAGTCATGTAGCTAAATTCATATTTATTCCGGGATTTGATTGACAATCCCTCCTTTATGAGCAGGCTTTCTGATACTTGTGTGGAAATCAGTTTACTTGAGTGTACCACAGTTTGTAGCCCTTAAGTTTACAGGAAGTTCAAATGCATATGACGATGTGGTATATATGTAGACATACCATTAGCTTTCTACTTTCTTATTTGTATATAAAAACTTTTCAAAATATTTCATTTGTAACATATGAATATACCATGTGTTTCTATCTTCTTTTATGTAATAACAGTTATTTCAAATTTATTCTCTTTTTGAATGTGTCCATATTTCACATATAATAGGGTTAAAAATCGTTTAAATTGATCTTGTTTCAAGCTACCTTTGTTTCTTTGTTATTCTCAAAATAGGTAATATCTGTTACTATCCATGAATAACATTGCTTAATGTGATCTTGTGAAATAATGTCAATAGCAGTATTCTTCAACAGTTGTACAGGTGATATCTAAAGGTTGTGACTTCATCTATGTGTAATGAGAATGACCAGTCATGTAATAGTTCATTTTGTTTGACAATTTTGTTCAGTCTCATTATTCCATTAAGAATTGAATCATTGAAGCAAGAGTTCCAATTTTACTCCATAATCAATATTGTTATATATCTGCTTGTTTGTTTGTTTCCGGTAGAAATGCTTTCCGAGGATCTTCAGTGATACAAGTCCTTTCTTTATTAAACCAGTTTATTATTCTTCGATACAAACTTTTAGTACACGGTAGTTCCACAATCAGTACGTTTCTCGTCACTTTAAACTTAACAACTTTTATAACACAAACTATAAATCACAGCGATTCACAATCTCGATAATTTTGTTCTCGACGTGTGCAAAACATACATTTTACGGCTCACTAGCTCGGAACTCAAAGTAACTACTGCTCTCTCTTTATTCATTGTCCTCGCTGGCTTTCTCTGCCAGGCTTATGTACTAACGAAGAGGGTGTCTCGAACACACTCAGACTTCCCCGATCATTCGAGAAACTCATCAGCGTCACGTGACTTCCGCTGTCGTAACAATATCTTAGCCAAATTTCCAGTTAACAGACCTATCTTGTGTGGTTCTGCAGTTAATCAAATTCACATGAATATATCACACATTTATGTAAATGTGTGTGCAATTTTTCTATAACATATTTGGCAAGAAGGTGGTTAAGTTGTTGTTGCTCTAACTGCCTATTGTTCTGTGTCATTCGCTTGAAATAACACATTTTGTCTTCCCATAGAATAAAAAGCTGTCAGGTTGTACATTGTATGGTATATGTAGTCAGTCACCCATTCCATTGGCAGTCTGGTGATATTTTGAGGTTAATACTAATTTTATATTTTAATGAGAATGACTAGTCACATGGCTAGGGTAAGGTTTGGCAGTACTGTCTTAACAAAGTAACATGACGCTTATTCAATCTAGTACAAACTTTCAACAAAGTATGTAAATCTATATAGAGAGGCCTTCAGTAAAAATTTCCATCCATTATGACAAGTAAATACACATATATTGTAATAAAGAGGATTTATTGTGATTGAAACTTATGTCCAGTCGCTTCTTCAATCTCATATATTCAATTTGCCAGACAATACAGAATTACTTAGTGCTAAATATATTTAAAAATCTCCTTAATTCTGTAACTCTATCTTGTTACTCTTGGTGGAAACAAGTTTTACCTGAAAATACCACATACTAGAAAGGAAGGATAACATTTTGGTACCATAATCACAGAATATCTTATTTCAGAGTTTTTCTTAATAATTATATTTTCCTGTGCTCCAACTCTTGTGTATCATGTTTAAAAAATACTTCTTTCTCGAGTAAATGGAATTTTCTACAAGTAGAAGGACCTGAGATGAAGAGAAAACGTCAGTTACAGAAGGAAAATAGTTGTCAGAAAGACAGAAAAAGTTGTCAGGTCTAGGAGAAGCATATCTAGAAATATAACTTTTTTTATGCTGTGAAGATCCATTGTGGTATTTTCAGGTGAATTAATTTTACTTTCGACTTTCATTAAATTGGTCCACTTAATAGAATATGTGAATAAGATATGATGTCACTGAAAATGTCTTAAATAATCTGGGTTTAAGCTAAGGAATAACAAAGAGACTGGACACAATGTGTAATAAACAATAAAAAATAGTTAGTAAAACTTAAAACGAAAACAGTGCTTAAGTTAAACAGTTGCTTTCTTTCAGATATTGCTATTTCATGATCATCTTTCAGACTAAATAAATGAGAGGTTTCTATCTAAAACAAAAACTCCCATTTACCTAGCATGACTGTGCTACTATGTGACTGGTCATTCTAAATCCACTTTCTGGAGCCATGATCTCTAGATGCTACCTGTTCAACCAGGGAAGGGTATTGCCCTGACCTTTATCAAGGTCGCACGTAGTAATGTTCTCCATAGACAGTAAAAGGATCCTCTAACTTGGAGAATGACAAAGAACCAAAGAAAACTTGAAACAAGATAGACTTAACAGTTTTCCTGGCCACATTTTATGTGTTTGTTTGTTTTTTGAATTTGCGCAAAGCTACACGAGGGCTATCTGCGCTAGCCGTCCCTAATT